CCTAGGACCTCACTCACTCAAAGGATGGGTTGCCATTTACTGAAGTCCCTATCCTTCCTGGGGTTCTTCCCTTGTTACTCTCCTCCACTCTCTGGCCTGCTCTTCTATCTTACTGCCCTTCTGCCATCCCATAAAATGGCTCCCCGGACTCCCTCCCATGCCAGCAGTTACGCTGAAGGGTGAGGGGAAGCTGATACAACCAGGCCCCTCCCTCCCCCCCCACCGCAACCCAACAGCAGCGATTCCCTCCCCAGCCCATCTCCCGAAGAACAAGACCACCACACAACTCTGTTCAAAACAGTTTATTTTATTTTATTTTTTTTTTTGTCAGACAAACACATTGATTTCTGGACCACAGTAGAGGATGGAAACCTTTCACAAACTTATTTATTTGAAAATACAAATATAAAATTATACTTTCCACATCTGTGATGTGAGAGACTGCCATCCACATAGTAATTTTTTTTTTTTTACAACAGGGCTTTAAGTAAGCCACACACAGAGACCTGAAAGATGCTTGAGATATATATATATATAGTTACATATATATGTATATATATAAAAAAAATACTCACTACCAAAGTTCTCATCAGTTTCATACTAAAGTATAAAAGTAAGGGTGAGGTCAGCCACAGTGCTAGGGAAAGTTTTATTTAGATACATTTATGTCCACATGAAACGCTTAGACTTGCATCTTATTACATATGGAATTCCAAGTTCACAACACACCATGAATGGCAGATAGGCTAGCCCACGCTACTCAGAGCACGCTCACAGACTCCACACAGGATGCTACAGTATGTACAGGATACAGTAGTAGGAGCCTTCTAGAAGACTCTGGAACTTTTGTCTCTCAATCCCTTTTCCCCTCCTATCTCATGCTCCTGCCTTCCGGAAATGAAATCCTATCTATCAGACAATACTTTCTGATCATTAGATAGCCAAGATTAAGGTTGTTCCCCAGGAGGGATGGGTTTGATTGAAATGTTTCTTTTGTTTTTGAGTTCACTTATTTTTGTTGTTATTGTTGTTGTTTTGGTGAAAGAAAAAAAAGAAGGAAAAAGAAAACAAACTTATTACAGTATTAAAGTATTGCTTAACATCCAGCGTAGCTGTGTGTAGTGTCTGTGCCAGGCCTGGGCTGAGCTGACATCTACGTTTTCTGCTCTGGGTGAGGGTGGGGAACTCACCAGTGTCTGTTCAGTGTGCTTGCCGGCGGCCTGTTCCTCTTCTCTACCCTCTGCCTGCCTGGCCTTAGCCTTTCGTGGAACATCTCCTGGCTGGCTTAGCACATTCAAGAAAGAAAAAAAAAATTCTCCCCTCCCTCACCTGCCCCCTGAATAATCCCTCTGTCCCTGTGTGTCTCTTCCAACCGATAAAGAGAAGTATGAGTTAGTGTTTCTTTTGTAAACAATTTCATATGCAATATAATACAGAAAGCATGGCTGACCTTCAATAAAAAAATGTAGTAAACTATATTGCTTTATTCTTGAGTATGCTAGAGTGAGTGAATGGCAGAACGAAGCAGTGTGGTAAGTGGTGGTGGAGGCTAAGTCCCTAGCCCTCGTTTGCACTAAAGACCAAAATAGTTTTTTGTTTGTTTGGAACCAAAAGTATTTTTTCCCCTAAAATTCCCAAATGAAAACAACCAAAAGAAAAAAATTAAATTAAAACAAAACAAAAACAAGGAAAAAAAACCCAAAACAAAAAACAAAACAAAAAAATCCTGAACACCTTTCAGGTCATTAGAACCAACAATGACCCAATGATTTTATACTAGTCTAGCAAGATGTGTGTAACACTCACTGGCTGTGGACTGCTGTATAGTGATACATTAAATTGACAGCAATCAAGCCATGCTACCTTAAAGCCCAAGCTACAAGTTCAAATTAAGATGATGGTATGAAGGATAAAAATGCAAAGGCCTGTTGGAGCTTCGTTTAAATCAAGCCAATGAGCGAATGGGATAGAGCGAGTTTCCCAGTGTGTATAAGGAAGGCTACAGACCACTCTGCAGAAGCTCTTGGGCAGGAGATCCAGGCTTGGCCATCTCCATCCGTCCCCCATGTCCAGGCAGGACCGGGGATGGGACCTGGAGCTGCTCCCACTTACTCTCCCCTGCTTGGGGAGGAGCTTGGGGTCTCCAGCTGGTGGGTCCGGAAGCCAGAGAGTCCCCAGGAGGTGGCTATTTGATAATGTCAGGGGAAGAGTCATCAGCTAAGAGGGTTTCTTCCCCAGGGAAGGCGAAAGGTGGTTTCCACATTCGCCATTGAGCTTCAATGAAACAAAGACAAGGCAGGACATCAGTGCTAAAAGAATTTACCAAAAAAAAAAAAAAAAATCGTTCAAAATGGACTTCTAGATGAGGTGGGTAGGGACTAACGTGAACCTTAACCTAGGTAGCCACATGAAAACACATCAGATTTCCACAAGATTTGTGCTATGGGCTACTGGGTCTCTTCAAAAGGTATATAAACACCTAAAACATATTCACACAGATTATCAATTTCTTCTGAGCATTCTTAAAAAAATATTTTTTTCTCTTAGTAAAATCATTTTAATATACCATGCCTCCCTCTTTTAAAAAATAAATTAAAAAAATCCAGTTTTGCATATTCTAGCATTAGCATTTAAGGTAGTATGGCACGCCCCAAAACAGTGAGGGGGGTGGGGGGTCTACGAAACGCCAGAGTCGGCCGGCATTTGAACATGGTGAGAACTTGGGTTATTTGAAACCACATCAGATCAGCAAAAATAAAATTAAAACTTGAAATAGAAAAAAAATTAAAAGAAAAAAAAACTGCCCCCAAAATTATTAGCATTTTTTTCTTTTCATAAATAAGAGAAAGTTCTATCCTTACTGGTCCTAAATCTGAGTAACTATGTCTAATTTTTTTAAACCTTAATTACGTTATACCTATCAATATGTAGTAGAAGAAAGAGGAGGAAAAAAAAGTTGCTACACTAGTACCAGGATAGCACACTTACAACATAGCCATTTTATACATTATTAACAAACAATGATCAACAAAGAGTCCTCTATGAGATGGGGGTGCTGAGAAAGGAGGGGTACAGTACATCACCAACATGGACAGAAGAGTAATTCATCCCCTAGCTTGACACTGAATTTCTAGGAATTTAGTGTCTTTTTTTTTCCTTTTTTCTTTTTAAAATAAAATTTTTGTTATTTTTTATCTTGAACAAGTTGTGATATTTTAAAAGTGTCCAGCATTTTATTTAACTTGGTTGTTTGGAAGTTTAAAAAAAACAAACCCTCCTCCCCCAACCCTTACCAAACAACCTAGCATTTTACTGGAAACTGAAGAATATGATTTAAAAAAAAAATGCTGTTGCTGTTTAATTAGAATTGAAAACGGGCTTTTTTTCTTTCTTTGTTTCTGAGTTAACATTTTGGAGGCTTTAGTTTGAAGATGCTTTTTCCCTACCATGTCTGTGAATGTCTACATTAGTCTACTTTGTTAGTAAAATTTATAAAAAATAGGAGTGCAGCAGCTCTTTATAATAAATGTCGCATTCAGTGTCTCATACTGGCTGTGCCTTAAGTACCAAATTTATAAACGTAACAATTTAAAAAATATTAATAAAAGTCAATATCACATTTTAAAAAAGAAAAAATATATATCCACACTACAATAGGTTTTAATGCCATCTATTGAGTTGTACTTCTACAGTTGCTGTTGCCGACCTATTACCAATATTAAAAAAAAAAAAGTTAAATTAACAAATATCCTTCATCATAAGTGTCTTTCCCCAACTGAGGACCATATATTATAACAGCCAAATGTTTAAACATGTGCAAACAGGAAGTGTCAGTTTTTCCCACCAGTCACAGTGCAGGGATGTTTATACTTTTATTTTTAAAATTCTGCTTACATCTACAATAAATTAAGAAAAAAAAGTTCTTCCATAGCCTCTCTGGTGATACTTGCAGCACTGAGGTATTAAAAAAATATATATATATAAACCAAAAAGGTTGCCTTTTCTAATTTGTAAATAGAAAGTGAATGGAGAAAAGGTTATATATTCCAGCCGGCTAATCCACTCCTGGCCCAGGGTCCCCCAGCAACGGGGGTCGGGGGGGCAAGGCGGGGAGAGAGGCAAAGCATCCTTAAGGAACCTTTGAGGGTGCTGAAATGATTGGACAATAGAAAATGATCAAACATTTAAAAATTAAGACTGAAAAAGAAACGTTCCCTCCCCGCCCTTTCCCCAAGCCAAACAGGTGTGCTTTGAAACTTTTAAATATGTTAAATATTAAAATTGTAGCTTTTTTTTTCCTTTAAAAAACATCTTGGGAAAAGCAGATTTTATTTCCATATTTTAAATAAAACTCTAGCTAGACGGTAACATTTGAAGCTGTGCACAGATGAGAGATTGGCAGGCTGGTAGGATACTAATGAAGTTCCTAGGTCTTATGACACCAAGGAAGGAGCTTCAACAAGCGTTCTCCACGTCCCGAGGTGGTCCTGGCAGCTGGGTGTCCTTTTCTCTCATTACTGGATTGTGTCACGTGCCCTCGCCTCCTTCCAGAGCATCAAATTGCCTGGGACCTACTCCCTCACAAAAATAAGTTTGATTCTTTCTTAATAGTTTCTATGTAGTTAATGAAATTGTATTTACAACATTTCTTTTTTTTTCTTTTTTAGAATTCACAATTTCAAAAAACCTTATAATATGACCTCTTTCAACAGAAAAAAAAGCACTTATAGAAAAGGAGGACACTCAAAACATGGTCATCCTTACCTTATTGCCGAAAATAGATATACTTAGGCTAACAAAGAGACATCATAAAAAAAAAAAAAAGGAACCGCTTGGAGAGTGTGTTAATCAGCTTACTACATCCCACTTCCACAATGCAAAACAGGAAGTCCACGCCCACCTCCCACTCTGCCAGTCACAACTTCCCCTCGGGTGCGTAAAGTTCCACCAGAAATATCATACAGTCTCAGAATTGGTACCAAAATATGGAGAGCAACATCACCATCTCAGTATCCTTTACAAGTGAGAACAGAATCAAAACAAGCAAAACAGAAAAAATAATAACCCCTTAATATAACAATTACACTATGGTTAGCTTTTTAACTAGATATTAAAGCTAGGTGTGTACTGGACTAAGTCAAAATCACCACCAACTGTGATTCAAAGAGATTTCAAAAGGAGAAGGGGAAGGAGGGGAGAGGAGAGGGAAGGGGAGGGAGACCACCAAGAAAAACAAAACAAAACCAAACCAAAATCATGGGTTATATACACATTTAAAAGCTGTTGTCTTATATTACAGCAGATTCGTGAGATGATGTGACGTAGTCAACCCTCAATCCGAAGTGAGCCATCTCTGGTTGGGATGAGGAGGCTGGTGGGGGTCCAGGTCTGAGGACATCACCTAAACAAAGGACCACTCAGAAACTTCGCCCAGTCTTGCCTGGACATCCAGGTATGCTCTGCAGGGTAGGGAAGGTCAGGAGTGTCACGAAGAGAAGATCAAGTGGGGGTAGGAGGAGAGAGAAGACCTATCAGACAAGTATGTGATCAATTCTGACGAGAGTCTTCAAAGGAAGGACTACATTTGTGTGACTCAGCGGGTGGGAACATGGCCAGCTGGCCGGGCTGGATTTCTGAGATCACAGCCTGGGAAATCTGATGTCTACGTTACATCTGACACAGGGGAGGGAGGACATAGCTCTGCCTCCCACTTCTGATTATTTCACACAGATACTGGGATTTCATAGAGTCACTGGGATTCATACTCAGGGCCCAGTGCTTGCTAGGCAGGTGCTAAACCACTTGCACCATGCCCCCAGTCACTTGGGACCAGACAATTCTTGAGGTAAGAGCAGGAAGCGCGGTCAGCAAATTGAGAGTTGAATTGTACGCTGACCGGAAGCTTTCTGTTTAAACTTTTATTTTCAAAGCTAAATAGCAAACATGTCTGTCTTCAGAAGACACCTGTCGATGACTGTTAATAGCCGGAAATACAAATTTGTACTAAAAATAAAATTTTTATGATGTACCAAGGGGCAAAAGATCAGAAGCCTGAAAAAACCAAACCAGCTTTGGTTGGAGAAAACCCAAACAGCCCAGGATTCAGAGACATACTAATTGAGTCTCCCTCAATTGACTGTGGACCTATCTCGCATGGATGATGCTAAATGCCAGTGGGTCACCTCTGCTGGGGACAGAGTGTGTGTCTGAGCACTTGGTATATATAGCCTGGTGACTCTACTACCTCACTTAACCTGTGCTACTTGGGCCTTTTCTGGAAACCAAGTCCTCGAGTGAGTGAGATGGGGGATGGTTGTAGGAGCAGGGGCAGCCCTGGAGCGCATGGAAGTGTGGACAGGACCACCCCACACACTCCTCACTAGGGAGTAAGGAGGGAGGAGGCAGCACTGGTAGCCCCAGCAACTGGCCTCCCAAGGACTTGCTGTGCTGGGCAGTGTCTGGCCCTCTCCTTTGTCTGACTCTACAGGGCTGGTGCTCTCTTTCCGCCCCCCGCCCCGACTTCTTGCACCTATCCATTTTCCTTGCTTTCAGAGGAGCCCTACTGCCCCTGGGCCCCCAAACCCAGCTTAATTAGTAGCAAGTAGCTCTCTTTCAAACTGTTAGTGGCCTCTGGCTCTGGCCAGCAATGGCCGGGTCAGTGCTTGAAGGGCAGTGGAGGCGAGGGGAGGGGTGATTCACACACATGGCTTATTTGGTTAAGAGAGGCAGTTGTGTTAGTTGACATAGGAGAAATCTAAGAGGTTTATGGAGCTCAACTCCACCCCGGTTCCCAAGCTGGTCCTTTTGCCCCTCTGAGTGCTGGCTGGCTTAGGGTTGGGTGCAGTGCCTCCCTACGAGACAGGAAGCCCCTGAATGCCCAGTCCGTGTCCCAGCTCCGTGAGCGGAAGGCTCTCATCCCCTCCCTGGTGTTTATTAGGTGGAATCCATTCCCAAGCCTCAGCTGTCACCCAAGAGACAAATCCACCTTCCCAGCCCACAGCGCATGTGTGAACACAGTCCACATCTAGTGCGTTCACCAAGACAGCTCCCATCTCCTGGTGCTCTTCCCACGAATGACAGACACTCAGTTTTGGAGGAGGAGACTGTGGTCAGAGGCTCGTTCACTGCCTGCCCCAACCTCCCCATTGCTCCGGTCCACCACCTCCATATCCCATCAAAGTGATTTAAAAATGTTTAATTAACTTGAGCTCAGTTTAAAAGGTTAGGAAACTGGCAGGGATCCAAATCCACGTTAGGCAGGTGATGTCGTTAATTTAATTTGCTTTTCGGGCGATAATCTGGATAATTACACCATAGTTACTGGCAAAAAATGTTTTCTTTTCACTAAAAGATGGGAGGTCTGGTTATCTGACTGCACAAACCCTAGAAGCCAAGCCCCCAGGAAGCCCAATGGGTCTAGCAACCCATAAGAGGTCAGCTGGCAGAACTTCCAGGAGTGGCCCTGCCCCTCCCCCCAAGGCCTGGCAGAAGTCCAGTTTCCCTGCCTCCTCCCAGGGGCTGGAACCAGCCCAAGGTCTCCTTCCAGTTTCCTGCACTCTTGATTGTATTTCAAGATGGAGAAAGATGAAGGTGGGAAGATACAGAAATGGAATCAAAAGAACCAAATCAAGGACATTAAAAAAAAAAAGTGAAAAGGGAAAGGCAGGGGTCAAGATTAAAAGCTGGAGGAAAGGATGAGAGATTATGACTAGATTTGTCCTTGCCCCCACCTCCCTGGAAAGGGGATCCGGAAAGAGGAAGAGAGAGGCGGTGCAATGACAGGGCATGCGCGTACAGGTATGAGCAGGGCACATACGTGTACGGACACGCCGCAGGGCGGAGACGCAGGGCAGAGACGGCAGTACCTCAGAGTGATGGCAACGGAAGCACCTGCTCAGTGGTATCCATTTGTAAAGGCCGTTGCAATCAAAGGTCCCTAAAATTGCACAATTGTTAAGGTCATCAGTGCGCTATACACGGGAACAGATTGTCACATTCTGAGAAAGGAAATTATCTCTAGAACTAGTTTGTGGCTGCCAGCATGAATATGTAATTCTGAGACACCATGCTCCAAACCCTTGTCCCTTCAGCTTCCCCAGGGGGAACCAAGAGCCAGATTCTGAGGGGTTGGGCAGGTGGGTGGGTGGGTGGTGGCAAAGTGGGACGGGGGCTCATGCCCCATGGAATAGACACAATAAAGAAAAGTCTCTGTCTGCAGGCCAACAGCTGGAACTGGAGAGAAGAAATCCCAGTGCAGAAAACACATTGTTGAGCCAAGGTCCCAGGACCCAGGTTTTCCAGAATGAATAGGGACTGTGTTTCTGAATGTTGAAAATGGAAATGAGTCAAGCTGTACGCGGTGACAGACAGTTCCCCAAACTGATGCAGCTCTCTGCTGAATAATAATGTTCTGGATTTGGTACTATACTTGATCTGAGGGAATTAAGAGTCATCAAAACTCTGATTCAAGTGATACTGGCTTGGTGGATGAACTGAACAGCAACCCAGACAGACAGGTGTATGGTGTGTGTGCGTGC